CTCCAAACAAACAAAAAAGAACTGCGTATGTGGGCTAGGTACATAGTACTTGCCTCGCATGCACGAGGTCCTGGGTTCGATTCTCAGTACTATCACCCTGACCCATAAAATTACAACAACAATCATAATAAATATTTGTGATTAATCAATTACACTGATCTTTCAGAAATATATTCCATTTCCTAGGAAAACACAGAAGGCAAACATTCAAGCTTTTCCTGACTATCCAGATGCAAGGAAGCAGGGAGGCTCAAAGGCCCTCTCATCAAAGGTCCTGTACCTTGCCCTGCTTTCTCCCCAGTACCTGAAGTCAGATGCTGGAGACAGTCCTCCAGCTTCTTGGCAATGCCTTGCTTGAAAGGAAGAGAGAAGGTAGACAGAGTTAAGAAAAGGCCTATTCTGAAATGTAATTCCCACAAACAGGAATGCCTCCCTGCCTATTGTCTCCAGCAGAGAGTCATGCATTGAGAACATGGCACCCCACCAAGGTGTGTAATGCGGGATCAGGTCCCTACTTTCTGTGACCTCTGTGTAGTGCAGTTGATTTATGTGATTTACTGCACCCTTGCTTTCTAGACAAGGAGTAACAAGCATGGAGGGGCACTCAAAGGCCAGAGTATGAAAAATGCAAAGATAACATGCCCGGGAAAACCATGAAAACAAACCCAGAACGCAGGCTCCTTTCTTTTCGTATTTAGAAGAGATTTTGATCAAAATGTAACACAGGTCAGGTCAATGTCTGCTTTTTGTTTTATACGTGAAAACAGCTAGGACCTGCTGTCAGGAGTCCTCAGGGTCATGGGTGCATGGGGCATACTGAGGTTTATGTAAAGTCGGGTGCCCAAGTGTCCTCTCAAGTTGGCAGATTTTACAGGTTTACACAAACTCTTGGTCAGAAGCTCACAAGACTAAATATCCAGCCAATGCTGGACTTCGACTGGAGGACTGCAAAGTATGTGTTCAAGCTGCTAAGCAGCGCTGCAGACAACTTCTTCACAAGACGAATGTGATTTGTATTCCCCATCCCTAAACCCTCACTCACAGTTGAGGCATTTCCTTGTATAGAAGGGGAAATGCGAGACCCCCCAACAAAGTCAGGTGGTGTGTCCGTCAGAATGCTTGTACCCAACAAGTAAGGCAGAGGGGCCAGATCGCTGATGTGTGCCTCGGTGTGGAATGTACACCTTGCACACTCCAACAAAACAAGGAAAACGTGTTCCCCGAAGACGCTCAAGTGGGACACTAGGTTATGGGAAGGTGAAATAAAACATGAACCTCATTTGGATAACTGCAGCCTTCACACAAACAGAAAGCCATAAGGGGTGGGGGAGCATTAAAATAATACAAAATCTGGGCCCCAGGCCACCTGCTGATGGGATACACCTTCTACTCCCTATCAGCTTCACCTACTTTTCTAGCAGCAGAACAACCTGTCCCAGGGGCTGTGGCAGAAGACAAGCATTCTGGAGGCACAGCAAGCAATGTTGAAGGCCAAAGCGACAGTGTACCTCCGAGGTGAATGAAGCAAAGGGCAAATAAGGCATGGTGGCCAAAAGCAGGCTGAGCTAGTCAGCCTGTCCACTACACGTGACACACAGAGCAAGTGGCTCCTTTCAGGCGTGTGTTGTAGCTGGAGGATGAGGCTCCAGCATGAGTCTCCACCACTTGACGAAGTTCTACTGCACTGTGTTGCATAGCTGCATCACAGGGGACCAGGACCCCTCTTCTTGTAGAGCTCACCATGAGAAAGGCAGGAGCAGAGGGGCAGGTTGCCGCAGGGCTAGCTTCAGTGAGGAGCGGAGGGGATCAGCAAAGCAGGGACCTAGGGAAGAACTGTCGGAGCTGAGAGGACACCCAGCCATGAGGGAAGGAAAACAGAAAATGTCTTCATCTTCTGCTTTGCTTTCGAGCACAAACTAGGAACCCCATCTGTGTTTACTGAATGAATGTGATGCCCCCAGTCCAAGATCATTCAAGAAAGAAACTCATTCACCGCACAGGCCAGGGTGTTCTAAACAACTGCATGCAAAACGTAATGGTAGAAGGTATGTTGTTCCTGAGAGGAGCTCCTTAATCAGATGTTCATATAGGTTGTGTTTTGTTGGTGTTGACATTTCCTGAGCATTGATCATGTACCTGGCACTCGCTAGCTTAGCTCCATAGCTTATCCTCACACAAGTGCTTGTTTCCTTCAACCCCACAACTAAATTTCATAGTCTTCTCGACATGAATACACTTCAAAGAAAGAGAAAGGTGGATTCTACTGCATAGGGAGGAACTGCTCATAAAGAGTCTACTTCGGGCCAGAGTTGAATGACAGTCTTCTCTGAACACAGAGGGACAGCCAGGAGCAGTGTTCCACAGCTGTAGTCATAGGTATTTGGGAGGCAGAGTGGGGAGGGTGGCCTGAGCTTAGGAGTTCAAGACCTCCTCTCAAACATGAGGCAGAGAGAAGGGGATGACTGTGGTTATGGAGAATCAACAGGATATAAGAAACAAGGTTAGCATGCACACTGGTCCAAGCTTCCTCTGTCTACGTCATTGCCCATCAACAGGTGTCTGGTGTCCAGGTGCCCAGAGGAGAGAACTATGCACAATTCTTAGGGCTTGAAGAGTAGTAGCCATATAAACGAGAGAAAGAAAACAGAGAACTCAAAAGAAGCCATATTAGATGGAGGGGGTCCAAAGAAAAAAGACAAGACTGAAGAAGTCTATTACGTAAGAGGAGAAAAGAGAAGAGAGAAAAGAACTCCCTTTTCTTGCCGCCACACAATTTTCCACTACAAAGGCTTTGGAAATGAATACAGATACAGCTCTTTGTAACCAACACAGGAGCTGCTGACCTCCCACGTCACATGAATCATATTTAAATGAGACTCTGAGGTTAACGTTCCTAGAGTATCTGATGAATGTTTAGTACAATGCCCTCCTGGTGACCCCTCCTTCCACGGTCTTCCCAACCTTTCAGTCATTCCTAATTTCTCATTTATGTCCAGGCCCATTCTTTCAAATACTTCCGTGTACGCTATCATGGGTCTCTTCTCAAATCCTACTAAAATCTTTCATTTTTTTCTCTTTCCACAAAGCAAAAAGAAAAATGAAAAGGCTATGAAAAATCTCAGTGCTCACCAGAGAAAAGAAAGCATGGTAAATAGTGCAACACCTTACAAAAAAAGAGAGTCATTTTCCTGTAAGTCTTATTCCTTGCCTGGGTATGACAGCTGGAGAAACTTACACCGGATAACAGTTATCAAATATAATTTTGCTTAGAAGCTATTTTCACCAAGTCTTTTTGTCAGTAATTATGACCTGGCACCCTCAACTCCACCTTATGAGTCATCTCTAATTCAACTGAGCTATTTGTTTATGGTTCTGCAGCCCTTTGTATTTTGGGTGCAATGAGGTCATTTTTCTTCTTAACTGAACCTGCTTAACTGTTTCTAACATAAAAAAAGACGAAGTCAGGAGACCAGAGAGAGAGAGAGTTAAACAACTAACACCACTTGGCTGCAATTTCCCAACACCCACATGGTAGCTTCCAACTTCAGGTAGCTCCAGTTCAAGGGATCTGGTGCCCTCTATTGACTTCTGTGGGCACCTGCATGCCTGAAGTGCACATATACAGTCACACACACACACACACACACACACACAAATAAGTAAATCTTTCAATCAACAAAAACAAAGAGAAGTTAGGTCAGAAAGCATGTTATTTGATGGAGAAAAAAAATGACTTGTTTATTTTCAGTCTGCTAAACTAAAATAGGAAAGAAATGCAGTACTTCGAAAATTGTATGTGCCTAGAACACATGGACAGTTCAAGCCTTTTTGGTCTGCTTGCAAAAAAAAAATGCTTTTAACTTACTGTAATTTTAAAAAACCACATTATTTGTTCCTATTAAATATAGTATCCCTTTGGAGTCCAATGTGGGAGGCATATCTCAAGTCTGTTCTTTGACACCACATTTTCCATCTTGTTTCCCAGTGCTAAAATGAATCTGCCTCTTAATTCTTATTCCGTCTTTCATCTGGGAAAGCCTGAAGACACGGTGCGATCAGAATTCCTCGCAGAAACCTCCTGCGCAGCCCCCATCCAGCTCTGTTCAGTGTGCAACCACGGCTCAACAGCTTTATCTGTTTAATGTACCTAGTTATTCCTTTCTAAGTCTCTGGGAGTGGGGAAAAAGACTACACAACCCTCTACACATATATCCCCCCCAAAAAAGGGGGGGGAGGAGCGAGATTTTCTAGTGAGAAACGGTATCTAACAAAACAGATCTCACGAAAGCTAAACACGAAGCTGTCTCAGTGAGAAACTGAATAAAAGAGAATCTACCCAGGAACAGCTGTGTCCAAGCCCAAGCATGCGCCATCTCCAGCACATGGATTTTGAGGGCAGTTTCCATTTAAGACAAGTACCCAGTGAACCCGAGTTTCTCCTCACGGGGCCAAGCAGAGTCCAAGCGTTCTGCCGCAATGGCACTGCCCTTGTGGGAACAGAAGCTTCTTTCCTTTTATGCTAACCCCAAGCCTCGAGAGGAAACCAAGGGGCAGATTCTAGGTTAGAAAAACAATGGTTTCTTCTCCGCTGAGTTCTGTGGTCACTTTAAGACCCTACATTTTTCCATGCAAACCACATTAACATTAAATATGCTTATACTAGACTTACCCTTTGCTTTCCCAAAGCAGTAACAATCCCCAAGAACGGGACGCCTGTGTTAATTCAATGGCCACTGTAATAATAGTGTTTAATGATACTCACTAAACAGGCTCTCAGACACCGTCTCCCAATTCATACAAACTCCCAACCACACAGAAGCAAACTTCTAGCCATGTCATGATTGACCAGACTTTTATACACTATGTATCAGTTCAGGTCAACTTGCCAAGATGGTGTCTGCTCAAAGCTTACTGTCCTCGCTCAAATCTAAGATTTTACTAATTAAAAAAGAAACTAAAACCAAAAGGTCATTAAATAACCGAACACTCATCGTGCTGACCTGGTTGCTCAGTGTCTGCTTCAGTTTTTGAAGAACCTGGTGCAACAGGAAGAGGTCGAGGGGGCCGGGGCTTCGGAGTGGGAGGGGAAATTCTTTTCCTTCCAATATACTCAACGTAAGTTCCTGGAAAGTCTCCCCTCTCCCCGGTAGTCTCATTGTAACCATTTAACCAACCAATATCTTCGGGCCGGGCTTCCTGTCCATCAGTGAATCCAAGCGCCACTAAGGACCCTTTATTCACAGTCAGTATGTCCCCCAAGCGCAGGTCGATGTCCTCTTCTCGCTCCTTCTTGTAGTCATACAGGGCTCTGTACTGGTACCCCTCAGCACTCATATTTGCAGCTCCGTCACCCTGCAATGGAGGGGGCTGCTTGTACACCGCAGTCTGAGTTTACGTTCGGAGGGAAAGGGAGTTCAGAGAATGGGCTAAAACCCCTAACAGGTGGCCAGCAGAGGACGAAGGACCACTATCCAAAGGTTTAAGAGAGGTGACTGGCCATCCGGCTGTCCATCTGTCCTCCATCAATGGTGTGACTGAAGACACGACTCTACACCCTCTGCGAGCCACAGTCCTCCCTGGTGTCCTTTTCAGCGACTTGTCAACACCTTGACTCCAGGCTGACTCTCACAGCGAGGCCCAATCCTCTCTGACGTTCTCGTCACGCCGTCCATCTGTCGTCTGATTTTACTGTCACACTCCACTCTCAGCTTCACCTAGCAAAGCAAAAACAAGGCTTATGAATGAACATCACACTTTGCCATCTGTGGGGATTTGAATTTCTACTTCCATTCAACAAGTACTTAATCACTCTGGCAGATGACATACATAGGCCAGTGTGCTACTGCTTGACACAGTATACAAAACCAAGATTAGTAAGACAGCCCCTGCCTTCTAAGAACACTGGGCGGGACAGGAGTCGATGTGCTAACATGTGGCAATGTTCTGGAGATAAAACTAGTACACAAGGAACCAAAACATTAGGTAACTGCCATGATAGACGCTGACACAAAATGCCACGGGGTTCAAGTGAGAGACCACATCAAATTGCAGGAATCTGCAGACAGAATGGAATGTGTGGCATGATCCTGGGCACAGACAGACCAAATGTCATATTATGGAAAGAAGCACAGGCAGTCTCACCCATCAGAAGACAAAGAGGGAGCAGTAAACCTGGGCTGGGAAGACAATAAGGGCCATCTGGAATGCACACGTGTACCGTGAGTGTGAGTAAGTCCGTCCACTACAGTGAGCCTGGCATGGTGATGTTGGGGACTCAGTCACTCAAGAAGGCTGTACTCAAGGCATCCCAATCTGACCTCAATGCCCACTAGGGACTGGCACAGAGAGAAAATGGAGGTGAGGGCTGCTGAGAAAGGTGAGGACAGAGACCAGAGAGGCAGCAGCAGGTACGTAAAGGTGCAAACTGAAGTAAGTACAGCATAAAGGGAAAAGGTGTGGAGGGTGAAAAATGCTCACCGGCGGAAGCAAGAAGGGCAAGTGTTTGATCCCGTGTTACTGACAATTCCATACCAATAGTAGGCAAAGGAAAACCAAGAGACCTGATGGGCTCACGGGATATAGACATCCACTGCAGATGTGCTAGTGACTGGCCAAAAACTCCAGCTGAAATCAGGAGCACACTTGAGGTTTTGTAATAAGCTTTGACTAAAGTAGAACTGATTTCAGTGGGATGGGAACCATCCCCGACTTTCTGGGATGCCAGATTGCAGGCCAGTAGTGAGGATAGCAACTAGATCTTACGGAGTTAAGATATGAAAGGAAGTAGTCACGCTTACTGCTGCGGAAGTACTATGTAAAACAGGCTTGGGGGAGGCCAGGGTAATGAAAGCCCTTTTCTTTCCATTGCCAGGCATAGTGGGTGCAGAGCAATTGAAGAGCCCAAGTTAAGAGAACTTTAGTCACCATGGATGGCTGATAGGGCAGCATGCAACATAGATCCACGCTGCACCTCATTTATTTCTCAGTGTTACCTTTACTGTAGAGACTAAATTCTAGCTAAAGGTTTCAGTTCACCAACCTGTACAATAAAACAATACAAGCACAGCCACATGAGTCTGTGTCAAAGAGACTTTCCTAAGTTTAGAAGAGAGAAACACTTTAGCAGTTGAGTGTTACAGGCACTCGTCAGTGTAGGCATCTTAAGAAGCACAATCTAGCCACAGATTAATTGTTATGTTGGCATTCAGAAGTGTAAAGTATTCAACTTCACATGGCTAAAGCCTCTTAGCTTTATACAATAACACTCTAAGGAGGGCTGCATATTAAAAGGAAGTAAAAACAAACACTGGAAATCTTTGTGTAGCAAGAATATTAATTTGGGATAGTACTCTACTTTGCATTTCAGGCATCAGAGGGAAAAAAATTAATGCAGCCAGTGGAGCGTATGAGAAAAATAAGCTATATTACGTTTGAAGAAAACCTCTCCTTCTGAAAGATCCAGAATCAAATTAAATATTCATTGCATAAATTCACACAAAAATGTAGAACTAGCAAATCTCATTTTTTTTGGTACTAATGTGCTCTGTACAAAAGAGACACAGAGCTCCAAAGAACATGAACATTTACATATCCCTAAAAGCTTGGAAACCAGGCAATATGCCTAAGAATAATTTAATTCCTTCAAATCTGCCCTGAAATTTTTGTTAGCTTTTCCTGGCAATGTATGTCTTTTAGGGGGAGGGGAAAGTCCTAAGTCAGTAGCCAGGGCAGATCTTTCTGCCAGCTGGTGCCTTGCACTTCCTCAATTTCAACCACCCAGAGGACCAGTTTGGTGGGATTCTCAGTAGAACAGGAAATACAATGCCTCCAGCCCCCAGCAACCATGAAACAAGGCCTAGCACACAGCACAACAATATAACTAGGCAGGTTCCACACCAGCGACTCAGAAACTACTCTGTGCCTTTGCAGGGCTCTCTGAACCTGAGAGCCTCTTGAGTGTGCCTGGGGCTAAGTCCACACAAGGGAGTGAAACTCTGGGAGGAGTCTGATAGCTGTAGGAGGCTAGATTCTTGAGAAGCAATCCCCACCCTGTGTGCTGAGACCTCAAAAATTGGGCCAATGCTCTCTCCCAGCCAGTGTCAGGTGAATCTTAAAAACTCTGCAGCACTCCAGGTCTTAGTCTGATAAAGGAACCCCAGATATCTTAGGGCTCGGGGATTGCAAATACAGCATGCCTGTCTACTCGGGGACTGCAGGTAGAGTCCGGCCAGGAAGATCAATGCAGATGGTTAAGGTTGGCAGTCAAGGTCAGCAATGACTGAGTGTCAGGGAAGCAGTCTGAAAGCTATGTTGTAAAAAGAGAGGGCGAGCACACCAGTCATTTATTTGGGTGGGGACCTGATCACGTGGTGACAAGGTTCAGCAAGACCTTGGCTGGGCACACCGAGCAGGACGCAGCCCTCTCAGGCTGCACTCTGCACACTTTCTCTGGCCTGCCATCCCCATTTAAATGAGGCCGTGTTAGCCCAATCATCATCACATGATACGTATTGGGAGCTGTGCCTACATTAACCCATTCCATCCTCACAACAACCAAGGTGTTGTAGATATTCTCATGTGACAGATGGAGGAAGTTTGGTATCTCGGGCATAACCACACTCAGCATCAGATGTAGACTCTAAATTCAGATCCAGCCAGTGTGTGGAGCCCCCACTTTTGAGACCACCATAACTTATTTCTGGACTCCGTGAGCTAAGATGCCCAGGGGCAGCTTAGGCCCAGCAGGAGCATCAGCAACACGCAGTATCCTGCCTGCTCTGGCTGGTCCCCCAGGAGAATTTTGGGGATCTGCCTTCACAGCAGCCACACAGGTAAGTGCGACTGGCTCTCTAACACACAGGCACAAAAAAGAAGCCAGGATGACTGGTCAGCACTCCAGCCAAATGCAGGACCCAGCACCTCAATCATGCAAATGTCCTCCAAAGTGATTTCATTAAAATGCATCCTTGCCTACGAAGTCCATAAACTAGTGACTAAAAGACTCTTGAGTACATCGCTTCTGGAAGACTGCCCACTTCTGGAAGACTGCCCTTCTCTGTCCTACAAATGTAGCTTCTGCCACCTGTATCCCTCTTGACCAGTCTGCCCTGTGCTACAACTCTCCTGGGCCCCACATTGCACAATTTCTAACAACTTAGCTCCTCCCTGGGGAGATAAGGGAAGCATCAATCCAGAGTCACAAGGGCTGTCACATCTAGAGGACTGGCAAGCTCCCCCTTAAATTGTCCCCAGGACTGCAGACCACCCAGCAGCCGGGATCATGAGCACCTTTGTGAGCCTCCTGAAGTCAATTTGGAGTTTTGACAAAACAGGTATTTCCCACTTTCACCAAATTATGCCTCCCATTCTCTTTGGCTACAAACACCTGCCCAGCAAACTACTTCAACCCAGATTCAGAGTAAAGGTCATTTTATATGTGGATCATAGTCATCGCCAACAAACTATTATTTGCAGGTAACTCAGGCAATTTTATGATATAAGCTGTAAGCTAAGGCATGTATAGGATACTGTATACTCCCCCCAAAAAAGCAAAAAGGAATTCTGTGAAGACATTAAAAAATAACTTATTTTTTATACGAGACCACATGCAACTGCCCACAATGTCCTTATGGGAAGTATTTTGCTCCGGTCTTTCAACCCTTTGCATGGCTGTCTACAGTCCCACTCACTGGATGTAAAGTTTCTTTCCCTGCTAGCAGACTGAGCAATTCTCATGCAATCTGCCCAGGTAAAATTGTTCCTAATGCTTGACAAATAACAATCCCTGACTGCTCAATGTGCAATGGCTTGAAAATAGTCTTTTTTTTTTTTTTTTTCAGTTTAACCTTCTAACCTGCAGGCAGAATGAGAAAGAACCAAAGTCTCTGAAAAGCCCTCCGGCTTTGTTGACTTACTCTATTCACCTTTTACAAAGGACAGGATTTGGGGAACATAAAGGGGAGGCAGAAATAAGGGACCTCCTCCAATTGCATTTAAAACAACAACAACAACAACAACAAGATATCTACTCATGCATTGCCATCCTGTGATGACATTAGCAGTGTGACCCTGGGGGGTGGCACCAAAAGGGTCTATAGTCAAGACAAGGGCTTGACTACACCACCATGTGTAACCCTTTGTCCCTGAACACGCGAGCTCAGCGTCTAGGATACATGTCCCACCTCAACTTACGGTCTTTCGAAACACAAGAACCATGGTCTGAAAATCTGTCTACCTTTCACAATTCTGGAAGTCATGAACCATTAAAACTGATTAAGATCCTAGCAGACACCGTGTTTTTATATGTAAAGTGACTGAACAGCCTCGGTTAAAATAGAATGGATGGAAGAGGTGGGCTCAACTTAAGCCCAATGTTACAGGCATCTAATATCTCCATTCCTTTCCAGACTGACAGTGAAGCAGAATGTGCTGCCTGCTGCCGCCACCCTCCAGGCTGGGTAGCAAATGTGGGTAGGTAGGGTGTGAAGGCTGTAATTCTTGCCTGCAAGCCCTTTGGGGGGGGGGGGGGGAGGGAGTACACACCCAGGTGACACATTAAGAGACAGGACTGCAAAGCAGTCACAGCACTGGTTCCCTGAGCACACCAAGAAGGAGAGGAGAGGGCTACCCCGGCCCACCCACAGCAGCCCTTCTAGACGAGAGAGAGAGGGTCTCCATAGAGAGAGGGCTAGGAAGAAGGGCCGTGTGACTAAGAGGAGCTCCTCCCATTGAGAAGAGGCTATGAGGCCAATGTGCCTGGGTCCCTGCACCACTACAGTAGAAACTGAAATGGTAGCCCTGGGAGGGGTGAACAAAGGGAGGTGCCCTAAAGTGCCTCTTCTTATGGGGAAAAAAAAAAATGGCCCTTAAAATTCATGGCAAGAAGGGTGAATTCTCTGTTGCAGCTAACAAGGGCTGCCCTGACCCATGCCTAGATATGTAACTTGGCAAGTCACTGAAGCCTCCCTCAGGCATCATTTCATCACCTGTGAGGCCGGTGGAAGAAGCAGACCTATACCTCACTAGGTCATTATGAGGATTAAAGGCAATTACACTCACAAAGCACGTCGCACCATGCTTCTCAGTGCAAGCTTAATATAATTAACCCCAACTCAGTGCTCGCTGTGTGCCAGGCACAGTTCTTGGAGTTTTGCACGCACCCTTACAAACTGCTGTAGCTTATTATCAGCCCCATTTTGCAGATGAGAAAACAAGCAAAGTTAAAACGTGAACGTGACTGAAGTGACAGTCAACTGCGGGGATGGCATTCTCGTAACTGCTCTTAGGAACAATAGGTCTTCGAGCAATATCAGCATTGAATGTCAACCGCCGTTTACACAATGCAGATTTAAAACAGAAGCAGACAGGTGCCAGGAATTTTCTCTGTGCGCTGCCTTTCAATGCTGCAAGCAGTTCTAAAAGAAGCCTGAAGCTACCTAAAATAAAACCCTGCTGTAAATAGAGTCAGATAGAGTCTGCCTGTGGACTTAGCCCAAGTAATTCTCCCTCCGGACCCAAGGGGGAAAGCGGCTCTGTAGAGGTCAGCGGTGTTATGTGGGAGGGCGACATGAATATGCTTGGCGGCAGGGCACAAGGTGGGAGTCATGACACTGTTGTCTAATTGGGTTTCATGGCTGCTCCCTCAGGCTGCCCTCAGAGAGGACAAACTGAGTGCAGTAACACAATGCTCAGGAGAATGAGGGCAGCTGGGTCCTCACGGGACGAGCCCAGCCCTCAGGACCACAGAGGCATTCCAGGATGAAGGCTGAACCACTGGCAAGGCATCTCGCCTCTACCAACCCACACCACCCACTGGTGGAGCCTCCTGACCCTTTGGCCAGGTTCCTATGACTTCAGTGCTCTCCCAGGCGATCATTAACCTGAGAACTATTTTGACTCCAGGTGCTTTATAGGTATACATTTGATTGACTTTCAAGGAAAACCGTGGTGGAGGAACAAAATCTCCAACGATGTTTCTCCGGTCCTTTCTTATTTCTTCAGTAAGCTTGTACTACACTTATTCCTCATTTCACCAGAAAAAGGTCTGGGGGTGGGGGTGAGGGGATAGCATAAGCCAAACAAACAAGCTATCAGTAATTACACAGTCTATTTTTCAGTTCATTTAGCTTAGTGTACAAGAGATGGCCTTTAACTGCCACTACGTCAGGCAAGTGATTTCAATAAAAGTATTGGCAAAGCCATGACAAAAAAAAAAAAAAAATCACATGAGGGAGGAGACAAACGAGGCTTTAAAAGGCACAATAAATAATATGAATGCTTTAAGAGTTCATCACAACCCATGTTTCAAGAAGGAGAAAATGACACAACTTACATGGTCTCATTTTAAAGTAAAAACAAAACTGACGGTTGGGTTTGGTGGCACAAGCCTATAATCCCAGGATTTGGGAGGTAGAGGTAAAAGGCTCAAGAGTTCAAGCCAACTTCTGCTACATTGGTAGTTCAAGGCCAGTCTGGACTAACTTCGACACTGCCTCCAAAATAATGAGTATATACATACATACATACATACATACACACACACACACACACACACACACACACACACACACACACACACACCCCTGATAATTAATTCCTTCTATTGACCAGTGACTTTCTAGTTGTCAAAGCTTCACCAGGATACTTCATTTCCTGCCTTTGCTAGCAAAGCCCTGTACCTTGCAAGGGGCTCTGTGCTTGGCCAATCTAATATGCATAACGGACTGACAGGGCTAATTTCTTCTGTGTGTGTACACCTTATTTATGAGAGAATTAAAAGCTCAAGCAAACGTTAGCTCAGCTTGCTATGGTCTACTTGACCATAAACCCTTTTTCCCCCTAGTTGGCTAATTCACTATCTCTTTATCCAATAAAACTCATTTTGCAAATCAAAAATGCAAACACAATAAAAGCTGGACCAGGATTGTTGCTGTTTTAACAAGTAGGTGGATAATTTTTCAAAGTGAATGCCTTTTACAACACTTTCCTGAAGTACTTAGGAGAAAGGGGGGGCAGAAAGGAAATTTCAATCAACACTATAACCTTAAAGCTCATGGTGTTCATGGCAAAAGTTTAAAGGAATAGCCAACACTTTTAAGGGTACAAAGTTTGTGCGAGTTGAATAGACTTGTCCTTAAGATTCAAAGCCTTTTGAGAATTGAAAGGGGAAAGGAGACAAGAAAAGGTAATGGGGCAGTGGATATGACTAAAATATGGAACATGCATGTATAAAAATGTCCTAAAAATTAAAAAAAAAAGCAATCCATCAGCTTAAGTGTAATTAACATTTCCAAAAGATACATCATACAACCCACCACCAACAGCCAAACTACATATTCCTGTAATGTGTTCTATTGCTCAGTTTCCCCATACCAACTTTATACTGGCAATGTATCAAAGACGAAAAACAAAACAAAAAACTAAAGAAAACAACATATTGAATCAGTGGACAGTGAAATACTTTTGTACATGGCTACAGCACACCACAGATGTGAAAAAAGCAGAGTGCTATCATAAAAAACGCAAATAAAACAGCAGATAGCAATGTGCACATGGCAGACTTGTTATGCAACTAGGAACAGGTCCCAGTGCAAGATGAAAGTTAAAAGTGAACTCCCACAACAGTCTGAGAGGCAGTATCAGCTCCATCCAACTTTCTTCAAATCATAAAACTGACAGATTGCTATGGGAAAGTAGTGTGGCCTGCAACAGGCAACTAGAGGGAGGCGGCCAGCAGTGGCATTGCAGGGGAACTTCTGCAAGGCAAGGAGCTTCCCCCACGGGCCTTCTCCATTTAAACCTGACTTTGAACTACCAGAGGTGCAAGAAAAATCCTGATCATTTTCTCTGTAATAAGTAAAAACAGTTGTTTCCCAAATTTTAAGCAACTTGTGTGCTTAAGAAAACGACCTGCTTACCATTAAGTGTTTTATCTCAAAAACAGTGAGTGCAACTATTAAAACAAAACAAAACAAACAAACAAAAAAGCTCATGAACATGTGCTGGTTCCCTGCTCAGTGACAAACGATGCATGGACACTTCACCTATGCAGAAGGCCCTTAAATCCTAATGATTTCTGCTTTAGAAATCTACTAATCTGCTAATCCGTGGCAGAAATAACCCCATCTGCCTACTATTCCAAGCTTTCTTTGCTCATAATTTACCATCTTTAAGGTGCCCAAAACATAGGATAAGTTAACGAAATATTAAGATGTTCTTCCACATGGAGTCTAGGTCAATCAGCTTTGGTAGTGCTCCTACCACCTAAAACTTGAAACTGGATCTCACTGAAATGACAATCTCATGCTACATTCAAAACCCGGAACTGCTTCATCCTTTCCTACTTAGCACTGTCTGACAAAGAGGAAAAAGACAGGAAAAGAAAGGGAAAAAAATTTAAGCCCTAAAAACCATGAAACCGCTAAATAAAGCATAAACTCACGCCAGTACATTAAGAGAGCCTGCAGCTCCTCCGAGAATTAACGGTGGAAGTGAGACCTTTCCGGTATTACCAGCGCTGGGAGCAGAATTCCCCTGAATCCAGTGCGGGCACAAGCATTCAACATGTCACAGCCACTCTGCTCACACCCTTGCGTTATTGTGCGCGAAAGCTGGTTACCAAAACGCATTTCTGTACATGCGTGCCTGGTCAGAGCGTTTCTATTCTCTTTGTCTCGTGATCTGCCGGGCAGTTTCTGCCTTTGGGAAGGAAGTGGCTTGCAGACAATTCCCCCCCTGATATTTTAGCTTAGGCTTGCACGCGGGCCGGCTTTCCCCGGTCGGCCGCATATTGCTGGGCAGGTCCCTCCAGGGTTGCCCCGCGTTAGGAAAAGCTGGATTTCCGGGCGGTGCCAGGATCCCACTCATTATGCCTCCAGCAACCTGCCCAAGCCCCGCGGGCGCCAGACGCCGAGCTAGAGCCCCAACCACCGACCGCCCCGAGGCGCACTTCCCCCACCCCGGAAGAGGAGGGCGGCAAACTTCGGAGGGCGGGGGCTGGGGGTGAGCTCCGGGGACCCCCGTGGCCCAGCTCCGCCGGCGACCCCGGCTGCAGCTGCCGGGCCTTGAGGGGACGTCGCGCTAATGCAAAGAAAGCGACCTAGACGCTCTCCTCGCGCGCTCCCGGCTCCAGGAAGCTGCAGGGCAATAGGGGACCCTCGGAAGCGTGAGGTGACTAAGGAGGAGGGGAGCCGGCGACCGCTGGCAACTCCGGGACCGAATGCGCCCGACAGCGAGCAAAGCCGGACCGGGGTAGCACCGAGGAAACGAGAGCAGGAGGTGGTCGCGACCACGCCGGCTAGCCACTGGCCCGAGAAGGCTTCCCAGCGGTGGAGAGATGCTGGCGACTGGGGGTTGGCAGCTGGGTCGCTTCCCCTCGAGTGGCTCGGCAGCAGAAGCGGCTGCCGGTGACAGGAAGAGCAGCGGCCGAGCGCGTTCGCACCGCCTCCCCCTCCCGGGCACACCGGGACCCACCGCCGCCACCTACCTCCGGGGCGGCTCGCTTCCTTCCTCTGGCCCGCCTGGGCTTCAGCGTCCTCTCAGGCTTACAGCTCCCAGGCGCCTGCGATCTAGCTGCGACCCGCCGGCGCTTCGCTGTCCGGGCTCTTCGGCTGCACAGCGGTCCTCGCCGCGGCCGCTGCTTCCTTCCAACTCGGCTTCAGCTGCTCGCTACTCCTGGCGGTGCGTGCGCCCTCAGCTCCAGCGCCTGGCGCCAGCCCCGCCCCGGACACGCCCCTCCGCCCCGCCCCCAGACACACACCAATCAGCGCCCGAGACCCCGCCCCCAGAGCCCGAGCCGCGCCCTCCGCCTCTACCAGTCTCCGGGCGGGCCACCAGGGTCCAGGCGCTGTACTCGGTGCCTACCGCCCCGACCCCCACCCCCTCCCCCGCTGCCCTCGCCTCCGCCTCCTGCACAGGGATGCCCCGGGCGACCGGACGGCGGGCGGGGGGCGGGCGGCGGGCGGTCTCCGCTGCCGAGCGCTCTACCTCTGCGCGCTTGCAGCTGGTTTGTCTGCGGGGCGTCTCCCAGGCCCGAAGCAGGGAGTGGAGGTGGGGGCCCAGGGAGGTGGAAGATAAGTTCAGGCCTCCCGGGGAGCCCGGGTTTGCTACCTACGAGACCCTGCGTCTTTCGAACCCGCTAGAGCTTCAGCACAGTGCCTGGGGTCAGGAGGACGCAGATGCCAACGCTCGCCAAAGAAGGGAGGCCCTGTAATTCCTGGCTTCGCCAGCACAGCTTCCCTAGTGGTCAGAAAAACCGCGCCACCCAGCGTGGCACTCCCGGGGTGAAGGAGGGGTGAAAGGGTGAGCCGGAGCAAAGAGTCCCCGCAGCCTGAGGCCGCCTATAAAACCCTGGCACCGCCGCCTCCCGGACCCAGGCGGGACCTAGGGGAAAAGGAAGAGTTCTGTGAGGAAGGATCTCTGGCGGGCCTTGGACCACAGAGCCTATGTAGGTCAGCCAGCCAGCCCAAGGCCCTTTAATGCTTCTGACAGGCTGCAGGAGCGCAGATGAATTCTATGGTTTCTAAAACGTAAAAATGCAGATCCTTGGAGGAGTAACCACACCTGAAGCTCCTCAAAAACAAAAAAAGTGGTGTTGGCTCGACCTTCCCATGATATGAGAAGATGCCAGCCCGTGTTTTGTTCTCCAGAAAACGTTCAAGAACTCTTGAACTTTAAAAAAAAAAATTGCTCCCAGGATATGGCTTGTTTTGCAGTTCAGAGATCAGCAGCCACCCACCCTTCTTGCCCTAAAGTTCCTTTTTGCAGCTCTTCTCCAGGGTTCTGGCAAGAATCCTACTTTTTCTTAACCAAGAACTTAGTCTTTTGTCAAATTCTCATTTTGGGAGTGTATTAGTGTGAGTGTTGGGAAGCAAAGGGGGAAAAATGAATTTCACAGCTTGTCCTTAGCAAATGCAATCTCTTTTTTAAAGGTGACTCACATTCTACTAGCTCAGAGATCTCCTTGGTACACTATTCAGGAATTAATGCTCCTCTTACTCCTGGTATCTATTGAAGACAAAAGCAGGCACATTTAAGAATCCACCAGTCACGTGGGATGTGGTGACAAACCCCTGTAATCCCAGCACTTTGAAGCTGAGGCCACAGAGTCTGAAGTTCAAGGCAGCCTAGAGTTTGTAGAATCTCTCTAAATACTGAATATATTCATTTGTGGAGGGAGATCCATCTTAATTATGAGTAGAACCATTCCCTGGGCAGGAGATTCTGGTCTATACCTGTGGAGAAAGCAAACCAAGTACTATGTGTGCACACATTCTTTTTGTTTTTTTCTGGTTGAGGACATAATGTGACCAGCTAATTCAAACTCCTGTGACTTTGACTTACCCATGATGACAGACCACTTTGAACTGTGAGCTAAACCCTTTCTCCTTTAAGTTGCTTTGGTCCGAGTATTTTATCACAGCCATAAGATACCAGGGTACATTTTTGGTACTGTGTAAAATGAAGAGCCTTCTGGTAGATAGCAATGATGTGTTTTCCTGTGGTAGAAGTCCTTGGATCTAATCCAAACTAAGATGACTAAAATAATAAAACATTCATGATGTTTTCCTTAGGTTTACCTCTGAGGAAACTGAAATTGCAGCTAGCTCCTCTTTTTGTGCTCACCAGAGTCTTGGGCAGAGGTTCCACCATAGGGGTCTCTTCAACCCAATAACAGCGCATAATCTGTAATCACACTCTCTCTTTTAGACAAGTCTTCAGCAATTTATTGTGTGCTTAGACTTCCTTTGACCTGTTTCCATCATAGCTGAACACAACACACAGCTAATGTCAGAGGGGGGTCACATGGGAGGAAGAGAAAGTTATCTCTCCATACACAGCACCAAATAGCCTGTCTGTTTCATTTGTGTATTAAATTAGTACCTTCCCACACATCATTAGTATAGTATTTTATTTTCAGTTCCCATAGATTCTATGAATTAAAAGCAATGACAACATAAGATCGGTATTTTATGTGGAGTGTGTGTGTGTGTGTGTATCTATGCATGCTCACATGTATATGCATGCATGTGTGGGTGCATGTGTCCAGTTGACAATGAAGTCTTCATCAATCACTCTCCACTTTATGTTTTGAGGCTAGGTTTCTCAGTTGAACCCCGAGCACCCCATCAGATAGTCCAGCTAGCCAGTTGGCACCAAAGATTGTCTGTCTCTACCTCCGGTGCGTAGGGATTACAGTTGAGCCCCTATGCCCACCCAGCATTTACTTGAATTCTAGGATCTGAACTCAGGGATTTACCCTTGCATGACAAGTTCTTAGCCTTTGAGACTCAGCCTTAAACTTGTGTTTTTTGGTAAACTTCTCTTGAGTAAAATCTTATCTGGAAACACAAAATGTAACAGTTATAAAGCAAGAAGCTGATATGATAAGGCAAGGGGCCCATTGTGTCACTTGCCTGCCTTTCTTTTATACCAAACCTCTAGATACTGGAGTCAGGACCATGCGCACCTCCTTGGAATTTGCTGGAAATAAAAAATTCTGTGTCTTCACTAAACCAAAGATGTCAGATTGGAGTGAAGAAAAGCTGTTTTAGGAGACTCTCTAAGCCATTTGCTGCATCCTGGGGTTTGAGAATGATTGCCCTGGGGCCTCTGGGACATACCGGAACCCAATAAAATGCTCCTATGTCATATAGACACAGTGTTCCAGTTTGCTTTCTATGGCTGGGATAAAGACCACCACCAAAAGCAACTTTAGGGGAAAGAGCTAATTTCACTTTATATCCTACAGTCCATCATAAAGGAAAGTCGAGGCAGGAACTGAAGCAGAGGTCATGGAAGAATTGTTTGTGGCTTGCTCTCCACTCATCCCTTGGCTTTCTTTTTTATACAATCCAGGACCACCTCCCAGGGTGATATCACCTATAGCGGGCTAGGCCCTTCCACATCAATGATTAATCAAGAAAATGTCCCTCAGACTTGCCTACTGGCCAATATAATCAAGGTATCGTCTCAGTTGAGATTCCCTTTTTCCAAAGACTCCACCCTGTGTCAAACTGACCAAAAACGGAAGAAGAGAAAAAAAAACACACACACACACACACAAAAACTAACCAGCCCACACAGTTCAACTGGTACTGGTCAAACTTGGCATTGGCGTTGACTGGTGCCTAAAAGTATCAGAAGATGTGCAATTCCCAACAGGGATACAGGAATGTCATTTATAATGCATAGCAGCAAAGATGGTTTGGAAATCAGAGTCAATCAAGGACCTACATTATAGAGACAAAACAAAGTGAGATAATATCCTCAACAATCAAAAGCCAGCAGGAGGCATTTACTGGCCATCTGTACTCCAGCCACTGCTGTAACTGTGATGTTAGAATTGTGATGTTAGAATATGCTTCCACTGGGCTTGAAATGTGTGTGGATTTTAGGGATTCAAACACAAACCAAATGAATACAAATGTCCTGGAGTCTTGCTCAATGTGGGACCCACAGACTAGCAGCACTGGCAGAATTAAGGGCATGTTAGAAATGCAGAATACGAGATCTTATTTTAGACCGACTGGCTGACAAACTGCAGTTAACAAGATGGCCAGGTGATACATATGCAGGTTAAATGATGTACCTAAGTGGCCCTCAATTTTGATCACATAACAAAATTGCCTAGGGAGTTTACCCAAATCCAGGATCTGCCCTGTATGTATTATGTAAGATGTAACATATAAAATGTCTAGAGGTGAGCCATGAGCATCAATTATTTTTAAGTATCCTCACATAACACCAAGCTGAAGACAGCTTCTGAGAACCACTACCGTGGAGAATGCAAGTAGAAAAACTGTCTTCAGGAGTGCAGACAGGTGTCGAAACATCTGATCTCATGAAGAGCAACTGATGTTGGAGGCTAGACACTAAGCCCAGGTTTTCTACACAGTTTTCAGAGAGACACTGGAAATTTATGTTTGTGGGAAATATCCCAATTATTACATGGTGACAATTAAATCATCATTTTTGATTTTTGTCTTCTTAAATGTGGGTTAAGCCAAGAGTATGATGGTCACGACTTTGTGAATTTAAATTAAGTAAGTTAGGCCAAGAATGTTCAGGTTGTTCCAATGCTGATCTGAAGATGCATGTATCCCACATCTTCTGTTCTTCAATACCATGGACATTGTAGGCACTTGATGACTCAGAGTTAGTGACTGGTGAGGACCATGGCTTATGGTCTTGGGATCAAACACTATGGCCTTTTGCCTAGTACTTTTCTTTCCCCCTTTTCCTGTCTGATAGTTGAAAAATACTTGGGGTGAATCCAAACTATTATGAGTATCTTGCTGTGGGAAGTTCTGTATGTCAAATGTGTTGCTGATTAGTCAATAATTAAAACACTGATTGGCCATTGGCTAGGCAGGAAGTGTAGGCGGGACAAGGAGGAGAATAAAGCTGGGAAGTGGAAGGCTGAGTCAGAGAGACACTGCCAGCTGCCACGATGAGAAACAGCATGTGAAGATGCCGGTAAGCCACGAGCCATGTGGCAAGGTATAGATTTGTAAAAATGGATTAATTTAAGCTGAAAGAATGGTTAGCAAGAAGCCTGCCATGGCCATACAGTTTGAAACCAATACAAGTCTCTGTGTTTACTTGGTCAGGTCTGACTGCTGTGGGACTGGCAGGTGAGAGAGATTTGCCCTGACTGTGGGCCAGGCAGGAAAACTCTAGCTACAAATGGCGTCCAACGTGGTGG